CATATCCTTTTGAGGAAATTAAGACGCTTGGCACCATTCGGAGTTACCGTTAAAGCTTCCGTCTACACTGGACGATCGCGTACACTTTCAGTTCGGGTTGGCGTCCATGCACAACCTTGTTATCCTTTCACCGGGCCGAATCCATCATGATTGGTTTTTGTCCACTGCCTCTGTTCCCTGAAGTGGCAGTTACAGCAGAAATTCGTTCACTTTCAATAGCCCCAAGCTACTCAGTTTTGTAAACGTAATCTTAATATAACCGCTGACTGCAGAGAATAAGACAATGCTCATGCCATCGTTTGAAAATTGGACTGCTGACGGTTGAGAAGAAGGAATTGTTTCCCATTTCGAGAGGATGCGGCGAGAGAAGATCTACATCGTCACTTAAGCGATGCTATCGCCCGCACGTACCCAGCCGCTAAGATAACGCTAGTTTCCGCAAGCATTCCACTTCTTCGCCTTGAAGATAAGGATAGACTGCCCTTTTAGACCTTTCATTGTGCATATAAGCCTGCACTTGCTCCTGTGGGAGTGGTTTTATTGGTCAAACAACTATGCGCCTATCCAAGCGCATGCAAGAGCACCATCCTGCCTCGTTAAATTAGAATGTGAAAAAGTCCACCTCCGGCGAAATTTTGGCTCCCTTGCTTAACAACGGCCACCGGGTAGGCATCAATCAAGCATTCCGAGTCATCTATAAAGTGTCGGCGAGACACTCCTAATTCCTGCATCATCGGATACTTACGACAGCAGGGGCAGTGGCCATACGGTTAGTCAACCCAACCTTGTGTCAGCGTAAAGCGCTTGTACGAACGCTAAGGCTCCCTGGGCAAAGACAGACCCAGCATGTGTGTTCACACCTGCCATGTCACGTTACAGCGGACAGGTTACAGGGATAGATAGTTGCCAGACCCCTTCCCCCTCGCACTCCCCCTTTCTAATCCCCTGACCGCAGTAGACTATGACTCCTGATGTCTGAACGCTCTTAACCATCTCCCCTATACTTACTGTTTCTAGGGTGTTTAAACTTCTACTCATCTACCCTCCCTTATATTACTGTACGGGCCTGATGATGAGTAATCGCAAGCGTAGGTATGCCGGACTTAAATTCTCAAATGTTATGAGATACCAAACTCGATACAGTCATTTGCCTATTCATTCAAGTGAAGTTATCCCCTGTAAGGTCAATTATCCCTAACAGTTAATAATTATCAACCTTAGGAGATGGTGGTCAAAAACGTAGATGAAAAAAGAAAACTAACTGATGATATGACGCTCACCAACCTGCTCTGATTACGAAATGAGGCATGATCGCTTGGTTTTACTTAAAAACTAAAATTTGACCCCCTGAGTGTTGTAACACATTAAGTTGGGACAGAGCTATAAGACCTGCGACAATGAAATGAAGACAGGACTTACAAATTGTCGCCCATTTCCAACCGCCAGTCAGACGCGATTAATCTCCTACTCAGGGGATCAGAACGTTCAATCGACCCCTGTCACTCTGGGGCCAGTCACCAGGATGAGTGGTCGCCTAGTCTCTTTCGTTAAACAGAGCAGATGATTTCTGTCAGACTGCATCTCAAATTAACGGTGATATCTTTATCTCAAAAAATGTGGCCGTGGCCAATACTGTAACGTCTAGCGTTCTGCACCCGTTCGCGGAGATAAGACTGACTGACGTCCAGTTATTCCGTCTGAGATTACGAGGCAACCAGCGGGCCTGATCCATATGGGTGAAGTACGCTCAATTGAAAACCAATCACAACCAACCTGCTGAGGCCAAGTCAGTCTATAGGCGTATTTAAGACGGAAATGCGTCCAAATCGCACTTATTTGGCATAAAAACTCATGCAATAAAACACCAGCAATTAACGCGCTGTACACCACCCGGATACAAAATTTGCGACTCGGATACAGTAGAGAAGTTAGGCTCGTTAGAATTTATAGGACAACGATAAACCGGCATAGGTGCCTAAAACTACGATACGCCAGGATGTGGATCTGCATGCACTAGAATAATTTTGGCACAGGTCCGTTACGTTGTCCTGGTCCCAAGTGTAAGCGCAATGTGGGCATTCAAAGGGAAGTAAGCCGAAGGGGATGCTGGGATCGTTAATGGGAAAGTAGCCAAAGCTAAAATAGGAAAGGGCAACATGATGTTTCGCTTTGGAGGTAGGGTTGGTTGTAGGGTTTGGGCTAGTGTCAGCTGAGAATTTAGTTCAGGGTTAGTGTTTGTGTTAAGTTAAACGGCTCCGGCTAGAGTTAAGTCCTTTTGATTTACTGTTGTAGAATCCGATTTTTGTCCTAGTATACAATTATTGGGCAGTAACGATTTTCAATAGACCATACAGGTAGAATCAACGTCAAATAATAACAAAGATGTGACCCTAAAAACAGCATTAAATATAGTTGTTCGTACCCTTCCTCGTACATACTTAAGCACCGTTGTCGTGCTTTTCCAATCCCGCAACCATATATTAGCTCATGTAAGGAGTAGTCAGGAGCTTGGTTTTTGTCTTGTATCATATTGCACTCACACATTGATATCCGCTTATATCCATTAAGCATTTAATGCACAATGGTAGTCATTTCATTCAGTTGAAGTCGGATTGGCTGTTATTCCCTGCCTTACTTCCTTGGTACTCCATATAGGTTACGGCTATCATCCCAAGGGGCACTTTCACACTAATGGAAGTATCTAGTTCACCTAACACATTTTAGACAGTTGCGCGGATTTTAAAATATAGGACCCTCTCCCTGTTACTGTTATTGACCTCAGAACACAGAAAAAATATCATGCACGCAAACAGGCGCCGGATAACACGGGAGAAAAGAATCAAAACGTCCATGCTGAAGTAAATTCTAAAGTTAGCTGCCTCGTTTTTCGCAGTTCTTAACGGCTGAGTCAAAGCGACTCTCAGGGGCAAAAAAGGAGGGGATCACGTCCTGCCCAATCGAGGGAGGATCGCTGTAGTAGCCTGTCCCTGGTGAAGATTGCCCTGATGCAGAATTCGACATCATTGCTGCATGTTTTTGTCCCTTCCTCGCCTCATCTGCGGTCACTTCGTTCATAGTAGCCGGCATATTTGGCTCATGATCCGCAGTAGACAGAAAATTGCAGAAGGCTTGTTTCTCAGTGTAGAGATGCACAAGCTGACTTATCCCGCTGATGTCGTCTATTTTTGGTTTTGATGGGAGTTTAGGAATACCTTCCGTGCTCTCTTTCACTTCTTTGGCTTCGGCCGGGGAGGTCCAGCGTTTCCTAGGGTCTGATGATACTCCCGTTCCATAGCGCGCAATGAAAGTAGCACTGCGAGTAAGTGTGCTTAGATGACTTATAGTACTACGGTAACGATAACGATCATTGCTTAGGTAGACAAGAATCATGTCGCAGATCAGAGTAGCAGTACCAAAAAACGCCATACTTGAGCCGACCTTCATGCTGAACTCCAATAAATTGAATTTTCCTGCTCTTCCGGTGACCGAAATGAGGAACTGGATGCCATTTACTTTCATGAGCATTCTCCTGTGTTTAACAGAACCATAGTGAGTAGCAAACTCGGTGTAGAATTTCTCGTCCATAGGAAAGAATTTTCTAAACAGAGGTGAATGGCCAGTCTGGAATTTGGAAATTGAGCCCAGATACCGGAAATTGTATTTAGGGTAGCATTTATCCTCATGCAAGTCCAGGTCACAGTCCCAGTGAATGCTGATATCAATAATGCCGCCAACTTTCAGTATTTCTCGAACTACAGCTCCAGACTGCCTGATAATATTGTGTAGACGAAAGTTTGGACAGTATTCATCAACGGGGTGCCCCTTCTCATAAACGCACTTTTTTAAATAGGAGGCATTCATCCACGGTAGAATGTTTCTTTTTTTGAACTTATAGATGGGAAATTCGATGCTATTTCTAATGGAAACAGTGAAATTTAGGATGTCGTATAATGGTTCCGCTTCACCGCTTTTGTACGCCGGAAAATCCAAGGCTCTGCGTCTCTCCTCAATAAACTGAAGATTCGAAAACAAGTGGAAGTTTGGACGTAATAAGGGATTTGACTTTGGGGTTATTTTTATTATCTTGGACCAGGAACTCCTTCGAACCTCACTATTCTCCAGAATAGGGCACCAGGCAAATACCTCACAGGTAGATGTCTCGGGCACACAGCGTCCAGTGAACGGTCCATGGCCGTCCAAGTCAAAATCAGTAAATGGAGGGAAAGATGCGTTTCTGGATGTTGGCCGTAATCTCGTGGCTGCAATCTCACCAGGTGGACAGTCGGCATCAGACGAACATACGGCGTCAAACAACTCTGGGCTTTCTGGACAGAATGCCTGTTCCTGCTCAATAGCGCTGTAAATCCGAGTAATGAGAAAGAATCCAGCATTTTGGATAGGCGGAACTGAAAGGTCAGCTTCGGTGTATATTATTGGACCCCCAGCATGATAACTGCCCTCATGGTCCAGATTGCTGAAAACGGTGCCGCGCACTCGCGCGGTGACTCCTGAAATGGGTCGCTCAAATGCTTGATAGCCCTTCTCATGAAGCATCACCCAAACAACAAAGTAGACAACTATTGCAAGTTGCAGCAGTCGATAAAGTATTCCAACGGAGCTTGATTTAATAACAACGACCTTTGGCATTTCATAGACGTCGAAACTTTCCCGCAACATCTTTCGAAATCCGCACTCCAATGGAAACCTATTTTGTCCTCCCTGTACAGACATGTGGTAATTTCTATTGTTGCGCACGAGGGATACTCAAGAGATCTAGAAAGTAAAATTAACCGATCGGTTAATACACGCGGGAACGGAGGGCTACCGATTCTTTTTCGATGAGCGTGAGGGAGAAGACTGAGCGCAAATCGTGTAGGAGGAGCACGCTTGGCACGACTCTGAGTTATCCACTTATGCAGAATGAACCAATCAGTATCCAATAGAACTTTCGACCAATCCTATTTCTTGATAGTGTACTAAGTGGCTGGTTTCAGTATGCTTTACCGTATACCTTATCCAGCAGAGGCGTAGGTATTCATTAAATCATTTAAGCTAAACATACAAATAGCAGCAGTTAATAAGCCACTGCCATACTGAGTCGCTAGTGATTGCTCTCGATCGCTTTCCTGATCAGGACGGACGATTCGACCTTTTCCGTAAAAATAACTCCATCGGAACATTATTTAGTTGTAAGTTGTCTTTATTTTGAATACCACCTGCGCACTCAGTGTTTCGATGTTACGAAAGGATCATTAATTTACTTCAAGCCTGACCGACATTGCCCCCGTCGGTTTCAACTAAGTCAGTATGTTCTGAATAACTTGTTATCCGAATTCGGTGCCTTACGTTATTAAGCATGCAAGAGTGATGACTAAAAAGTTAATCGGCTGCAAAACTTCGAAAAATATTAACATGATTGGATGCTACTGTAAATTAAATACTGGGATCAACATGGTCGGTAAAGTAAATTTAAGTAAGAGCAAACTCACAGCTTCCCCATGTTTTCGAAAATTATCCAAAAAACACAATTTTTACGATGCATGCAAATAATCTGATTACATTTGCGGTAGGAGGCCTGGGTAGCCTAGCAGGAGAAAAAATCTGTTTTACAGAAGTAGGCGAAAATGGGGGCCGGTGTTTCATTTACTTGTTTTAACTGCTTAACATCGGAAATTGTGAATTAACAAGTCCGACAACGTCGTTAAAGTTGTTATGGGTCGATGCAACGGACACATTGCAATACAACGGCGAAGGTGATAATCTGTTCGAAATTTGTTAAACCACCAGTTTAGGTGAATTAAATGCAGCATACATGGCTTTTCGCCAACACCTGACAAGCAGCGGATTTTACGGGGGAGAGTCACGTGCGCACGCAAATCCTGAGACGCCAAGTCTCACCTTCGAATTCTGTGTCGTGGCCAACCTACATTTGAGTCAAACGCGGGTGATGGGAACACATGGAAGCCGATAATCAGATCTGCTAACAACAGTGCAGACAGTCAATGCAGCAAGCACAGCATCAAGCATACTGACAGAATTCCGAACCCTATTTGGTTCTGCATCCACAGTGGATATTTGGGAAAACCAATGTGCACTCGATTTATGCGTCTGAAGTAGCGAATGGATGAATAAAAATTAAGTTACCAGTGACAGGGAACAATCTTCTCCCGCCGGTGAGAATCATCCAAACAGTTACTGTTTAAAACTCATTAAACATCTTAGGCCATTAGCGGATGTCTAATCCAGGGAAAAGAGTTACTAGGCTCAAATGGTCAAATAAGCTGTTGTCCTGTTTTAATCATTTTTGTATGGTTTTCTTTTCTCACATCTTTATAGCTTAGGCGTTCTATTAATGTGTTGGAATTGTCAGTTTTTGAAGCAATTATGGAAAGAACTGTGGAGTACGAGTTGACTGCTTTTGTGATGGAGAAATGAGCACTCTATAATTATGCAAAAATAAGTAAACGAGCGTACAACGAGAAAGACGAACTAGTTTTCATTTCGCGAAGGTCTCAGTAGAATAAATAATTGCAACCTAGTGGGGGTAACGTCGCGGAACAACGTAACCCGTGCCCATATTCAAAACCCATTACTCGCATCGCTACCACACTCAAGCCCTTCATCCACTTCTATATAGTAATTACTCAAGGCGTTTTTATAAGAACAAGCCACTCATTGGGTGATCCTCTCCTGTCCCAGAACCTATACACCTTGCTTCCACCAGGAACAGCCGACCAACAGCGCCCACTTATATAGTTTCACGCTCATATTTATTCGCCTGCCTCACGATTTAATGCATGCACTTCAGCATATATAAGACACGATACAAGTATTTCAAGTTCCGCAACTCGAGTGTATGTGATGACATAAGTAACGTTAGTTCTAGACCTCTATGTTATGCGCAATTCGCCAAAGAGGGCCAAGATTGATAGAAATTTCATGGGAAGAGATTTGCATTTGCCCTCTAGGAACTTGAGATGGCATTTTCCGAGGTTATATGTGCATTATACCCAGTATACTAGTAAAAATTCCTCCAACGCACTCTTCAACGTTTTCTGCGCGGCAGAAACAAAAAAGTACCAATGCCTGGGATAAGACTAAAGCATCAAATTAACATTTTAACCATGTCTTGGGTTAATTTTGGAAAATTATTTGCATCAAAACAAAACTGCGTCTTTTAGTCGCTGCTCTAGTGTTGGACGATTTGAGCCACCCAGACTGACTGCTGGCTAAAGCTAGTTCTTGTTAAGCAATAAGGCCATACTCACAGACAAATGCCCATGCACCCTTTGAAAGGTTGATCACTGAGGCAGCGGACGACACGAGGTGTTTTCAGTAAGCAACGGTGTTTACTGCCATTTTTTCAATGTATTTGATCCTTTAGTCCCTTCTTGGAGAAGAGGAAAAACTTTGAAAATGTATCAGATTTGCGAGAAGCTCCTGCGGCCAATCCAGTACTGGTACATTATAGGTCACTGGAAGTCGATAGAGAGGAGCGCCGATGCATTTAAACGCAACCCTGTGACAATAGGTTTGATTGAATAAATAAGCCCACATTCTCTTCAAACCCAAGTCAACGCGCGTAGCAAAGGCGTGTAATAGTCCACATATTTGGAGTGGAGGATATCTTAGGATTAGATTACATGATGAGATTTGTTTCTATTTCTTGAGAATTGTGATGGAGGAGAATCGTCAAACACCGAGCAAAATGAGATGACCTGTTCCTTCCACTTTGCTGATCTGCTAGTAAATTCCCCAAAACCAAAAGATTCACTAATGATGAATGAAAAAATGCACGTCTTTATTCAGTCCTTCAATACAAATGAGTGGCGCAAACGCTTACGTATGACGCATTGTATGCTGTATCATGCACGCAAGTGGAGGGGTCTTAATGCGTAAAAAATAGATGTTTGCGTGAAGCGTGTGCCACTTCAATCGCTTTTGACGAAAGTGAAACAAAAACCATCTTTGCCCAAATAAGCTAGAAAATAGTAAATAACTTGATTTACTAAATGTTATAAACATTACCGAAATATGCCGATAAATAACAAGGCATTTTGTTATTTTTCCATGATAATTTACCAAAACCACATGCCATTAAACTCAAAAACCATTTTAAAATTATTTTCAACATATTTTTATGTAAAAAGGTCGGTGTGATGCAATTAGAAAGTCGTTCAGTGTTGAATATGACGCCAGACTTATTTTTATTTATTTGCGTTCTCTCTTTCGGTTAAGTATTTTTTAACCAACCAGTGAAATCCGACTGGAAAAATCGCTACCGGTACAGGATCAATAGACTTCCATCATTTTTATCAATTAACTCATATCTCTCGGAATACATGAGAAAATAGTTGTTCATTTACGCTCACCTTGTAGAAGCCAGTGATCGTCCCAGATGCTATCTTTAAAGAAACATTCTTTATAAGGCCTTCAAATAGTTTTAAATAAAGACATTATTTAAGATGCTGACATGATGAGAGATTTTGACTTTTAATACAAACCTCGGGTAACGCATGCAGCTGTTTAATAGGAAATTCAAAATGTGTTTTGGAGGCCAAAGAAGTTATAAGTTTGCTGTTAATGTTACAGAATAAGTTAGCAGGGGGTGGTACTTCAGGGAGACAATGTTTCTTTGTGTCAGGTTTTAGAGTTTGAGAAAATCAAGTTTCCTGTAATATATGACAGTCCGACCCTTCACCGATCCTATCTATAACTACGGTTTGAATTTGCACGGGTACCAAAAATCCACTGAAAAAGGCACATTAGTCCATCGGTTAACACTAAAACTTATCACTATATAGGTGTGACCAGGAAGACGCTTAATCAAAACCCAGCATGCAGATGCATCTTGACGTTCACACTTCCCCTGGTCGTTCGATTCCAGTGAAGTCGAAAAACGTGGACATCAGAAATGCATGGTAGCTTTGCCACAGGAAGTACAGTTTGATGTCCCTTTGTTGCTTGGTCAGCTGGAGTAATCAGTTTACTCTTCTGTCAGGTCATCACGAGAGGCGATAACGTGTTATCCATATATGGGCTACGATCTCCTAAAAAGAAGAGGGGTTATGCTTATAAGCCTCTCAAGAGAACGTGTTTGTTGTTGTCGTACTCACGGCAACCCTGAGAAAGTACCGAGTTTTAAATATCTACAGCTGGAGTTATGGCGAATTTCCGCATCCCAAAGGTGTTTTTGGGAAGTGCGTTTAATTTCTGTTTCGTGGTAGTTGACTGTATTAGAGAGACAAAATTAACATTAATGAAAACTGTAAAGTAAGCCCTGTAAAATATCTAGAGTATATAAAAATTAAAGCGTTAAACAAGTTGATGGTCAAAAATTACAATCCAATCTGAGGTTAGCTATAAGACAAAAACAGCCTGTCAACCACTTTTCACTAGATACCGACTACCGAACTACCAGACAGCTCTTACTGGTGACAGCAGACGCAATGAAGATTATCCTGTACAGGCCGGCTCAATGGGTTGAAGGGAACGTCATAAGGAAAAAACGCAATAGCCGAGTGACGAATGTTCTCCAGGTACAAGTTACACAGATAACTAGAAGGTTTTGCAATTAAAAGCGTGCAATCTACCGCGCATGCATACGCTGGAGAGCATGTCTGTTGACATAATCAGGAGGAGCTCTATATCCAGGCAGCATGTGTTGGAGTCACTTG